AAAAAATGAACTTTGGCTTTCTGACTCCCCAGGACAGTGATGTCTTGCGACGAACTGTGGGCTCTGGCCCAATTTGCCTGCTGCCAATTAACTTGTTAATAGAAAATTATCGTTATGGGCCAGGCATGGTGTGGGGCTCAGCACGCTGTAAATTCCCGCACTTTGGGAGGCTGGAGTTCGGGCGGATCCGAGCGTCAGGAAGTTCGCAAGACCAGCGCTAGCCGGAATATGCGGTTGAACGCCATTCTGCTACTCAAATAGTTAAAAAAATTGCCAGGTGTGGTGGCACGCCACCTGTAGTCCAGCTACGTCAGGAGGCTGAGGCAGGAAAATCCTGGACCGCTGGCAGGGGGAGGTTGCCAGGGTGCGCAGTCATGCCCCTGCCCCCATTCCGAGCCTGGGCGACAGAGCGGCGACTCCATTCTCAAAAAAAAAAAAAATTATTTTTTGGACACGATTACCTAGGTTGAATTACGGTTTTCTGTTTTTTGCTGGGGTTCTTTGTTTTGGTTTTTTAGACCGCGCTTTCATCTTGTCCCCAGGCTTGGAGTGCACATTGAGTACCCCAGCTCTTGGCTCGCCACAACGCTCTGGCCTGCTGGGCCCCCCCGTTGGCGTTCAAGTGAATTCACAGTTCCTCAGCCTCCCAAGTAGGCTTGGGATACGGAGGCGAATGGCACCACGCGCCACTGAATTTTGTTATTTTTTGGAGTAGGCGGCGTTTCTCATAGTGGTTGTGTGGTCTCTAAACTGCCTGACGCCTCAGGCTGATCCATCGCCTTAGCCCTCGCCCACAGGTGCTGGGGATTACAGGCTATGAGCGCACCACGCCGCTGGTTTTTTTGTGTTGTTTTTTTTCTTTTTGTTTTTTTTATTTGAGGGGAGTCTTTGCTGCGTGTGCATTCAGGCTGGGAGTGCAGTGGCATCATCTCGCGGCTTCACTGAACCTCTGCCTCCTGAGTGCTCACGCCCATCTCTTCCATGCCTCAGGGGCCTCCCAGGTGTCTGACATTAAGGCACTTTATCACCATGCCCACCAATGTTTTTTGATTGTGATCAGTAGGACGGGGTTTACCGCTGTTGACCATGCAATCGTCTTCCGAACTCTCCTCAGATCGTGGATCATGCGTGCTCCCAACCACGTTGCCTGGGGATTACAGGCATGAGAGCCCTCGCCCGTGCCAGCCTTTTGTTTTTTTTTTTTTTGAGCGGGTCTGCTCTGTGCCGCACCAGGCTGAGGTGCGTTTGCCGCCGAGACAATCTCGGCTGCGGAGCGTTGCCAAGCGGTCCGGCCGCCCCTGGGTTGCACGCATTCTGTTTCTGCCTCAGCTCCCAGAGCTAGCCGGATACAGGCGCCCGCCCACCACCGCCCAGCTTTTTAGTTTTGTGGTGTGTGTGTGTATCTTTTTCTTGTAGATGTTCCGGTGTTAGAGGACTGGCTCGATCTACCTGACCTTTTGTGATCCGCCTGCCCAGCCTCCCAAGTGTGCTGGATTCAGGCTTGAGCCACCGCCGCCCGGCCTTTTTTTTTTTTTTTTTTTTTCTGAAAGGAGGCCGTCTTGAATGTTGCCAGGCTTGGTCTTCAACTCCTGGCTCAAGTGTCCACCTTGGCCTCCGAAGTTGCATGGATTATAGGTGTGAGCTACCACATCCAGCTGTAAGAATATTTAAAATATTTGGGCTTCAGGGCGCCTGTTTGAATACAGGCCCTGAGTAACATTAGCTTTTTGCCTGCCATTGTTTTCGTAATACAATGCCATGGTATGCCCCAGTTGCTTCTTGCACTTTTAGCAAATATTTCAGAATCAGCCAAGTATTTTAAGGCTTCAGAGGCACTTTGGGATACCGGGTTGTCTGATAACCACAGCTATTTTCCTGCCATAGTTGTCTAATAAGCAAGTTGGTATTAGCGCAGTGCTACTGCACTTTGGCAAGCGCCATCAGAATCAGCGCCAGGGACTATGCTTTTCAAAACAGATTGCTGGACCCTCCTCCCAATAGATTCTGATTCAGTAGTTCTAGTTGGGACCCAGGAATTTGCATTTCCAACAAACTCCCAGATAATGATGTTACCATTCCCAGACCACACTTGCAGAAACAGTTCAGAAACTTTAGGGGAACAGAAAGTTCCTCCCTGGCGACTTCAAAGTTCCATGATCCTGAAAGCAAAATTTAGCACACATAGCCTTTCTCCTAGTCACTAAGACTGTCCTGTTCAAACCCTGGGATGTCTTCAGAAAGCAAATAGAAGGGGAATATGAACAAACTGAAGTCAGCATGGAAATGATTCTGAGAAGATGAGGGAGGCCTTTGAAAAGGAAGAAGCCAGCCAGGCGTAGTGGCTCACGCCTGTAATCCCAGCACTTTGGGAGGCCAAGGCGGGCCGATCACTTGAGGCCAGGATTCGCGACCAGCCTGGGCAATATGGTGAAACCCTGTATCTACTAAAAAAATTAGCTGGGTGTGGTCGTATGTGTCTATAATCCCAGCTACTCATGAGGCTGAGGCACTCGCTTGAATCTGGGAGGCAGAGGTTGTAGTGAGCCGAGATTGTACGCACTCCAGCCTGGGCAACAGAACGAGACTCTGTCTCAAACAAACAAACGAACAAACAAAAAAAACCATGTAGGAAATAATCCACAGCATCAGTTGGACTTGATCTTGGCTCAGGGACCAGGCCTGGTGCCTTGATATTGGTAGATTTATTTGCCATCAAACTAATGAGCTGGGGACATTGACTGTTTCCTGGCAACTGAGTCCCCTGATTGTGTAAACAATTTGCCTGCAAACAAAACCTGAGTGCTTGAAAGGGTAAGTGATCCTGATCTGCCATAGAAACCTTCATGCTTAGGGAGTTTCCCTAGCTAGTTCCTCAGCTAAGAGTCTCCCCAGGAGTTTCACTCACCTGTTTCCAGTTCCTCCTTTGGGCTGTCAGCACCTGTGATTCTAGATTCCCTAGAGGGAGATTCCTCCCCAAAGCTGGCTCCATTTACTGCCCGTTCTGGGCCGTAGCCAGGGTAGTCTTTGAACACATTATCAAGAATACTTTTTAAAATAAAAGGCTGTTTCAACTTCCACAGTGTATTTTTTGTCTCCTTGGAAGCAAAGTTTCCAATCTTTGCACTGATTTCTCACCATCCCCTTTTCATCTGATTTCCTAAATCCACTTTTTTCTTCTAAAGATACTGAAGTTGATTTTTCCATGCACTTTTTTTTAAGTGACATTTAAAACATTCAATCAATTGTTTTAATGTGCTGAGAAATGATAAAAATTTCACAATTTTTTTTTTTTTTTTTTTTAAGGGTCAATGTCTCGCTCTGTCACCCAGGCTGGAGTGCAGTGGCACGATCTTGGCTCACTGTGATCTCTGCCTTCCAGGTTCAAGTGATCCTCCTGCCTCAGCCTCCTGAGTACCTGGGAGTAGAGGCGTGGACCACCATGCCCAGCTAATTTTTTGTGTTTTTAGTAGAGACGGGGTTTCACCAAGTTGGCTAGGGTGGTCTAAAACTCCTGATCCACCCACCTCGGCCTCCCAAAGTTCTG